TAAAATAAAGTCAAATAAGATCGGGAAAGGCTCTCCTATAAAAGTATGTTTTAAGAAGGGACTTAAAAGAGTTCACTGACTCAACCGACCTGATTTCCTCGGGCAGGCTGTTCCAGAGCCTCGGGGCCCTGACAGCAAACGCTCTGTCCCCTTTAGTTTTCAGTCGAGACTCTGGAACAGACAACAGACCTCTGCCCGAGGATCTCAAGGTACGTGCTGGTGCGTATGGGACTAAAAGGTCAGAAATATAACAAGGCGAGAGGCCATGAAGAGCTTTAAAAGTGATCAATAGAATCTTAAAGTCAATTCTAAAACATACTGGGAGCCAGTGTAATGAAGCTAAAATAGGAGTAATGTGGTCATATTTCTTTGTTCTGGTTAAAAGCCTGGCAGCTGAGTTCTGGACAGTCTGGAATCGATCAATAGATTTTTGTGTTAAACAGGTGAAAAGGCTGTTGCAATAATCCAGGCGTGATGAGATGAAGGCGTGTAAAATGGTCTCGGAGTCCTTAAAAGTTAACATAGATCGAATTTTTGCTATATTTCTAAGTTGATAAAAACATGATATCAGTGATAATCTATTCTAAACAAAATTAAGTAAAACATACAACAATCAGTAAGCACATATATGTGTAGGTGTGTGCGTGTGCTTGTAAAAACAATGGAGGGGGAAGAGCGAGAATGGACTTTTTCAACGTGTGTGGTTACGTCACACTCGGATCCAAAATGGCAGGCAGACCTGGTCCCATCCCCAAAATGGCCCAGAGCACTGTTGTCTATGTCCATTGTCTATGTGTTAATACTTGCTTGTACGTGCTAATACGTGTTAAGAGCATGCAAGTGCATTTCCCATGATGCACTGAGCTCCTCTCCTCTACTTTCTCCCTCTGTACGCAACCTCATCCCATTATTGCATGTTACTAACACAACTTCTCCCCTTCCCGGTAGTCTTGTGCTTTCTCGTCCCTCTCCTCTCTCCTCCTAAAATTCACACAACTGCAAACTAATGGACAGAGAGATTTGGCACTTTTAGTTACTAAAAGTTGAAACGCTTTTTGTGTTCCTGGCTTTTTTTCTTTTTTGTTTTTTTTATAAAGGACTCTTTAATTAGTTTTTTTAAAGAATTGTGACCAAGATGTTCTGCTTGAACAATCTATAATCGACATGCTACAAGGGTTAGTCAGATCAGTGCAGCGTTGCCACAGACTGTCATACATTTCTTTTCAAGTACAGCTAATTCTGAATGTCCTTGATTCGTTTTAGACATGCAAGTTTATGAGGCTTTTGAAGATTTAACGTAACAAAAACAAAATCTATTGCTGCCTCTCCAGTCGAGGATTCTTGCTTTATTACTGAGTACAACAATACCAGGCAGCAAAATATAAGTATATTCAAATGAAGATGTTGTTGATTGTCTTTTGACCTTGTTGGTTGAGTTTGTGAACCAGTCCTGTACTTTGTTGGCTAGTACTGAATTACAGTAGAGTCATTATTGCAGGCTGTGTTTACTAAACTAATTCAAAATTAGAAAAACCCAACCCAGACCAACCATTTCATTATTTTAGAAGCAGGGCTGTAACAAGTGTAATCTCTAAAATCAGTAGTCCAGTAGCGTAAAACGTTTTACCTGTGATCAGGGAGAGGAAGAGAAGAAGAAAACTCTTCATTTTACTGAACGCTGAGATCCTCTGTGAGATACTTTAACCACATTTGGTTGGGACGTCTCCACTATGTCGACAGCTGCATTTCCTGTAGTTATATCTCATGATACCTAAAAACTACCGCCCAGTTTTCTATCCTTCTTTAAGTGTATTCATTCTTTAAGTGTTCACCACACCTCCTCCCCCTTTATACATTACTTTATTACACAGTAAATAGGAAATGACTGTGAAGAGAGAGAGAGAGAGAGAGAGAGAGAGAGGGGACTTAATATATTAAACTGTAAATTTCCTCAATGTAAAACAGGTAACTAAGGGAAAAAAAATATAGAGATTTTATTATTCCGTGTAAGTGAAATCTTACCTGTGGATATTAGTTAACCCTGCAGTAACAGATTTTTTTGGTCACTTAGGGGCAGCAAAAACAAGCTGTAAAAACAAGATTGACATCATCACTTTTAGGTTGACATGTTAAACGATTACTTATTTACATATCCAGCCATTATGGTCATAATGATATTACAATATTCTTTCTCTTTCTGCTCTGTTTTTGGTCTCTACCAGCTCCTGTGGGAAATATCTGGCTTTTTAGCTGCAAAATGCTCCACTACGATCACCAGCTAGTCTCTAAGATGATATTATAAGTTGCAATCCCTCTAAACAAATCCGGCCCGCAGATCATTTGTGCCTACCAGTATTGCAGTGCAAAACTTACTGTGTAACAAAAAACTGAAAAATGATTGAATCCCTGGGTGTGAGGAAGCTGTACCTTATGTGTGTTGATTTGTTGTTTGTTTGACAATTGCTGTATGGCACACTATGAATTTCCAAAAGGACTAATATATAAATATCTACATACAGCATATATCGACTGTGACTGTCTGCTGCTGAGCAGGTAGTGTAGATTTTTACAGCTTTTTCAGTAAAAACAGCTGCAGACATAACAAAAGAAAGGTGTAGGTGATGACTGTGACTTCATGTAAGAGCCTATGTTGTCACATTTCTTAGTATTTTCACATCCCCCTCTGGCTATGAGACACTCTTACCCTTAACCAGAAGAGCTATTTACAACCAACAGGCTGCAAACCACAGGCTCATTTACGTGTCCACCCAAAGCACAAACCCCCATGAAACTACTGCTGATGGGTAATGAAAGTATATTATTATAATCATAAACAGGTTCTCATGTTTAATCAGCTTTAATTGGCTGAATTTGACTGAATTAAAACATGTGTCAGTATCTGCCTTGCCTTGGTAGAAAAAACCTGGCACAACTTTTACCAGACTGCAGAAGGAGGTCATCCGGCAAGGGGCCGTGTTGTTAAATTGAACATAAGCAAGTAGACGTTTGTAGTATCCAATACTTATGTACTTGACTCATAACAGTTCAAAATAGCACTGTAGCAGCAGGACAGAGGGTCAGTGACCTTCTACGGGGAGAGCAGTGACTGGTGGTTATGTAGGAACTGAACCCTTCTATAGAATTTGAACTCTAACCCCTTGTTTTGTTACCTCAAGATAGTACTGTACCCTTCTATGGGTTTGACCTTTTACTCAAACCCCTCTATGGTACCTAACAGATACTAAACATATCCTATATAAGCTTTGTTTGATGTACAGAGAGACAGAGTGGCCATCGGGCTGGGTCACTGTCCAAGCAGCCGCAAAGCTTGTAATTGATGCTGAACTCCTTGATTTAAAAAACTTTTATGATCAAGAACAGTGTCAAGCGGGTTTCCTCTCAACACATCATTGCAGCATTATTGTTCGGACACCACACGTTCCTTTGTATTTCTGCTGTTTATCTCACAGTCAGTGCAACCAAAGATTAAACTATTGATGCTGTGATCATTTTCCAGATCTTTTGTCAGATCCTGTGATCCTTTAACTTTGATGGACTGTCAAACTGGGCTGGATCGTTGATGTCTCACTGTCATTTCAAACAGCACACCCCCACCATCACAGCCCCCCTGCATTGTTTTAACACTGTTATAGTCACTCCTTGTTCAATAATAATTAGTCATTCAACAAAACTGAATTAGATAAGCATCACGGTCAGACTGAACATCCTCAGTCAGGTTATGATCTCAGGCTTTAGTGTCATTCTATTTTAGATCACTTACAAAAAGCTCCACCCCTCATATTTTTCTACCACTGTTATTGCATACATCATTGTAGACATCACTAAACCACAGGAAACTGTGCTAAATGGGCATTTTAAAAAGAAAATGAATGTATCTAGATAATCAGCATGCTAAAGTTAAGTTACTATTTGTAAATCTTTGTGTGAAAGATTGCATCTTCCAAGTTATTTTGATGGCATCTGTTGCAAAAAGAAAGTCTTGTTAAATATTGGGTAGCATGCAGTGCCATCTCACACAGTGTGTCATTGTGGTTATGCAGGGCAATGGGGTTTGTACCCAAATAACGGAACAGGCAGACTGACACAGTTACACAAAAACCAAACCAAGAGACACGTGAAGTGTTGCAGTAAAATAGTCATTTTTTTTAGGTTTCCTAACTGAGAGACATGACTCAGAAGTATCTGATTGGCAGCCATAATAAGAGCTGGATGAAATCCAGGGTGCACTGGACCATTATTTACATCGGTGGTTCTCAAATGGGGGTCCGGAGAGTCAGAGAAAGGGACAGAGAGCAATACAGAAGGCCAAGGGTGAGAGGGCGTGGCGGATCAGAGGCTGAGGAGCAAACTGTGACAGAATGTCAGTTCTGAAGCTACCATTAGATGGCACTAAAGTAAAAACATAAATCAAATCCTGCATACAGTGAAATTAATTGGATTAAATAAGGAGTCTGTTTAACTGGTGTTGTAAATAATGAGCAACATTTTAATGATTGTTTTCTTGTACATAATATTATGTTACTAAAACTACTAGTTATAAAAGCAGACTATTCTAATTAAAATGATCATATTTACATTTAGCTGACACTTTTATCCAAAGCTAATTACAATTGCTATTTATGTCAGAGGTCACAGCCCTCTGGAGCAACTAGGGGTTAGGTATCTTGCTCAGGGACACAATAGTGGATGTATCACAGTGGGGAATTGAACCCAGGTCTCTCACACCAAAGGAATGCATCCTATCCGCTTTTCCATCACCACTCCAGCCATCAAGGTCATTATTCTTCTCGTAAACTATTGATATCTGGTCTCAGTGCAATTGTCTAGTTTGTGTAATTAACTTCACTAAACAGTAAACAGATGACCATAACAAAAAGGTGGAATAGCCACTTCATCTGGAAATTAAATGTGAATTCAAATGGTCAATGTAGTCGTCAAAAATATGTTCTCAATGTGCAAAATTTCATATGTAAATATCATAGTATTGTAGGGAAAGCATTTATTTTATTTCTAGGACTCTCATTCAGACCAGGTCAACAATATACAGTATCTGTGATAAGTTAAATCAGGTAATGAGATAATAATCAGCTGTAATATAAAGCTGAGCTTCAGAAGCAAGACAAGAAAGACTCCTCTAGTAATTACAGATCAGTGCAAAAGTCCTGTTCACACCTTGGTGACTCAAACAATGTGGATGATGAAGTGAATCGTGTGTCTCTGGATTGATGGGATTTAAGTTGACAGCGTCCAACATCTGAATATCTTGGTGAAGTTCCTGAAGTCTGAGCTGGATTCATTGTAAACAACCACATCAGCAATGAATGACCTGAAATTTTGACCATGTAGTAAATATCATAAATTGACAGGGCTGATTTTTGCGTGATCAGTGCTGCTGTGGCTAGTTCATTGTTGCGTAGAGAGGATCCTCTGAAGAGCGGACGGCAGGTTGACAGTACAGTAGGCTGGATTTTACTTCACAATAGAATATTTGCAGGCAACAGAGCTGGGTTTGAGGATCACTGCCTCACCACCAACTCTGTCACAGCTGCTTTGGAAGTTGATGGTAGAGTAATGCTGCAAAGCAGACGGGTTTGTGGGAAAGTTGGCAGTGGCATAAATCGTGTCTATCTTATTTCCTGAGTCTGGTGTCTGGATGTGCTGCTGTATCTCCTCATAGACATGATCCTACCAGGGAAAAATATAAAATACAGTCTGACAAAATCATATAAAATCCATATAATAAGAACTTTCCATTCAAAATGTGCTTTACATTGTTGGTTAAAATGCAAACAGGTCAACTTTTAAAACATTCCCATGCACATTATATCATACAGTAACATATTTCCCGTTGTAGCTACCCTGCAGTGGGTTTCCGATCGTAAGAGTATAAATACTTTATAGGGAGCATTTTGTTTACAAGTTATCCTCCTGGGTTTCTGTTCAGATGCTTTCTGGAAAACAGGGAAGTAATGGGTTCATATTCATATTCATAACAAACACAACAGGATTGCCACAGGTAGCAAAAAAAGAGAGATTTTGTCACTGAAACAGTGAAAAAGCTGCGTCCTTGTTGGCCAGTACTAATTTTATATTGTTTTTTCTATGAAACGAGAGTCTCACGAAGATGGTTAGCTAACTAGCTAACCCTAACTCTACAAAGCTAAGGTAGCCAGTGCTAATGAACTTTACTGAAAAAAACCAAAAACAATCTGGAACCCAGGTGAAAGGTGGCTAAGTTGCTTTCCTTCCAACAAACCCACCGTACAACTTTATGTCTCATTTATACACTGACCTCTTGCAGCTGTGCTGCTGCTCCATTTCTTGTGCTCTTTGAACGTGAAAATCCTGGAAGAAGCAAAGTAAGAGAACAACATCTAATTAAACAAGCAGAAGGACATAAGTGGATTCATTTCACCACTTTTCATCAAATTGAGACAGTCTCTTTAAGTCTTAAACTTTAAGCCTTAAAGCAACATTATGTAGTATTTTTATTTTAAAATAACAGGTTCAAAATCCATTTCATGGTACACCGACTTATAATAGGGAGAATGGTATCTTGGTCATTACCGCTCTGGCCCGGATCGCATGTTATTAGCTGTGCTTCCATCAGTGCTTTTTATACGCATTTTGAAGTATTGCATTAGGTGATTGGAAATTCAAAAAAACTTCCTTAATTTCACAATAAATGTTTATGCTTGCTTGAGGTGCATTTTGTGTTTGTGCAAAAAGATTATTGCGGCAAATGGGAAACGGAAACACTTTTGCTGAAAAGGTTCTGACATAGCAAACTGGTAACTCACGACCGATCAGCTGTTTCCGCTGTCGGTGTCTTGCCAATATTTCCATAACACACTGAGACATGGGTGGTAGCAACTTAAAACACATTCCTCAGCAATCCATACTTCTTGTTTATTATGTGTAACGTCCCTTGACAGTTAAATGGAAACATGGCTATTGTATGTATGTAACACTGGCACCAGATCTCGCAAAAACTACTTACTTAAAATCGATTTAATGTTACTTTTGTGTTCACACCTGGTATTTTTATTGTGTTCTTGTTATCATCATTGAGATTGGATGTCTGTCCTCCAAAACTGCATGTGAGTAATTTCATGTGGAGGATAATTTGCACCAGACTCCCTAAAAAGAATCACATAAGCTGGTGAGTTGTTGACTTAGGGGAAACTTGACATACTTTGTAAAATGCTGTTTTACAACAAATTATTTCTTCCCTCTTGTAAGTTTGGCAAATAAGTGAAGTTTTTCTTTTCTTTGTATAAAAACATTGTGTCCATCAACTTCAAGGCATGAACAAGAAGTCATAGTCACTACAAACGATATACGGTGTCTTCTTTGGCCTCTTTAGTCCTCATCTCCACACAGGATGGAGTTGTTGTAAATGTAGTTTTCCTTGTACAACATGTGCGTGTTTCTTCTACAAACTGGTAATAATTCTTACGTTTGTAGATTGGGATCAAAATCAGGACAAACAGCAGCAGCAGCACAGCTACACAGACGACCACAGTAATGATGACCTGAATGTCACCTGGAAGATAAAACACTTTTTTTTAACATGATCATCCACAGCTGTCTGTGTTGAGTGAATGGAAATTTAATTTGAACTATTCCCCTTCCCCTCCTCTTGCTCTTCTCCAGCAGAAGGTTTAACATATCAAATGGGCTCTCTTACCAACCAATTAACTTTGTTAAAAAAATAATCTTTTTTTACACTGGAACCCAAGTGAAAGCTGGCTAAGTTGCTTTTCTTCCACAAAACACAACATAATATATAAATATCTAACGTGCTTTCTTACCTCGACTCTCTGAAGACACAGTAGTTGACTGGATTGAAGAAACCAGATATGTGGATATTGTCATTGATACTGCTGGTGATACTGTGTGTGATACTTTTGGTGATACTGCTGGTGATACTGCTGGTGATACTGCTGGTGATACTGTGGATGATACTGCTGGTGATACTGCTGGTGATACTGCTGGTGATACTGTGGATGGTACTGCTGGTGATACTGCTGGTGATACTGCTGGTGATACTGCTGGTGATACTGTGGATGATACTGTGGATGATACTGTGGATGATACTGCTGGTGGTACTGTGGATGATACTGTGGATGATACTGTGGATGATACTGCTGGTGATACTGTAAAAAAAATAAAATAAAATGAATTTGTCAAGAGAATAGACAGATTAACCCTTTGAAGTCAGATTCAACACAACAATCTTTTTTCTATTTTCCCTTGGCTGTGTTAATAGATTCACCTAGAGCAGAAATGTTGTTCTGAAACACAATGAAAATGAGAAACTAAATAATGAATACATAAAGAAATGAATTATAATGAATAAGACTAAGTGATAAAAGATGGTTGGATACAGGGAACATAAACATTTGCTGAACAATGAGCCTGGAGGTTCGATTGTGGGAAGCATTTGACTCATACGGCATAGAAGAGCTAATGAAAGTAAACTAATGCTATAATTTAGGAGTTAAAATGGACATCTGATCACAAAACGTGTTTTAAGTGTTACTGCTTGTCGACAGCCTGCTTTTGGCCTGTTGCACGGGTCCCACACTAGCTGCCGATCCTGGCTTTTTGCTAGGGATTCTCCAGGGTTCTCCGTGTCTGATTGAAAACGCCTCCTCCGTCTGGCAATTCGGCTGTTTTCAGGTTTCCTTCGTCGTAGCTGGCGAGAACACGTGGCTTGGTCTGACCTCGGTGAAGTTGGCTCAACGAAAAGGCTTAAAATGGAACTTGGTCGTTCCTGAATTAGTCCAGTGTAACTTAACGGACTCATAACTTTAACAAACAAAAGAAATTAAGAAAATAAAACAAACTGAAGGCAGATCGATGTCGCGGCACTTCAGGTGTGTAGCTTCAGGCGAACACAAGGGCCTGTTTGTTTCGCTGGCCGAGTCTGTGCGCTGACCGGCGCGGCACGCTGTGCGTGCCGAAGCGTCCAGCGAGCAGAACAGGGTGGCAGAGCCAACAGCGAAGAGAAGAGAGAGCGAGTAGGTCGCGTGTCGCTCTTTTGTTGTCTGGGGCGTGATTCCCCAGGGGGCGTCTCAGGTTTCCCCAGGAACTGCCTTTCTAAACTTAATGTCTAAAGAAAAGAAATCTATTTGCACGTATTATAATCAAATATTTTCCACAATCGAACCTCAATGGTTGAACGGTTGTAAACGGCATTTCCGACGAGGGCATGTAATACTTATTTCGCCCACTTGGGGGAGCTCAGGTTACATGAGGAAAGCTTGGATTAAATCAAAGATCGTCTCTACTTAGGAACCGGGGAATTTGTTGATTCATCCTTAAATTCAAGCTGGCGATTAAGAGTATAGTAAAACATTTCTTTGTCATCATTTCTAAAGGGATTTTGTAAGAAAGTATTATGAACAAGCATTGATTACATCAGATGAAGGAGTGTCTTGCTGAAAATAAAAACATTGCACAAGTAACTTCTTTTCAGCACTAATATCAACAACAGATAGCAACAACAGTTAACATAACTACTCAAATAGAGGCAAACATATTCAGGTAACTAAAGATTTAATTAAATTTAATTAGATGCTTTGAGTCTTTTGGAGACTGCAGTCCTTTTACATTGAAAGTTCAGTGTCTGGAACATGTCACACTTAGGTGAGACAAGGAGTATCCTTTTGATGTGGTAATAAAAAAAAGAATAAGGTCAGTTGCCACGGAAACGTGTGTGGGGGGCCAGTTTTGATAGGCTGTTCAGGGAGATGCCAATGGCTGGCTTGTGTCCCTTTGTCAGTTTAACAGTCAGGCCCCGTGTTATCAGCTTCGGAATCAAAAAGGTGCCAGTTTTATGGTCGGGATAGCACTTAGAGAAAGCAACTTTGACCCCTCCCCATCTTCTCTGGGGAGGAGAAAGGAATTTAGGGTAGCTCCAAATCTATTCAATGTAAAATGCACAAATCCACACCGTTGTTCACTACACAGTTCAATATATCTGCTGTGAAAAAAAGGTCTATTGTGTAACAGGTTTTTAAAGGAATCGTTTGACATTGTCAGAAATGCTCTTATTTGCTTTCTGACATGTGGTTCTCTTCACAGCCAGTATGGATCATAAGCAACGTGAGTATTGTTTTAAGACTTGAAAAATATAAAACTTGTTTTGTGGCTTTTTGTACAAAGCAAATTGCAGAGCTTAATGAGCTTAAGCTTAATTGCTTCTTCACATGCAGTTTAACAGGTCTGATTTCTTCTGCTCAGTACATTTACCATTTATAGGCAGGATACAAACATTTAATACACGGTTTATAACAAACTATAATGGCCTAGTTGTAATGAGGCCACTTTAAGTGTTGACACTTTGTCGTTGTTTTTTCTGTACTGTTGCTTATATCTTCTATATCTAGCTGTAACATTTGTAGATAAAAACAATAAATATCCTTTCAGATTTAGAATATTTCTGTTACAGTCTGAACATAATTCATCACATAAAAAGAACAAACCTTCATGTTTTTACTGAGTTCCTGTTAAATTAGTTTTTTGTGACCATAATGTGTTGAGTGGGACATTTAACAGTTAAGTCAGTGCTCTCTGGTGAATAAACTTTGGTCTACATCTTGCAATCTTGCAAGGGTTAGTCAGTTCAGTTCAGTGTCCACACACTGTCGTAAATTTTCCTTTCTAGTAACACAATCTACTTTGTTGGCTACTTGTGACTTAATGTAGAGTGCTGTGTTGGGGGCTGTGTTATACAAAGCTAATATAAAATGAGAATATCCATCCAGACCAACTGGTTCATTATTTTAGAAGCAGGGCTGTAACAAGTGTAATCTCTAAGATCAGTAGCAATAGCAGCAAATGTTTTACCTGTCATCAGTGAGAGGAAGAAAAGAAGAAAGATCTTCATTTTGTTGGTTGCTGAGATCCTCCGTGAGACAAGTTTTCTCTTGTTGGTTGGTCTCCACTATCTGCACAGCTCTATTTCCTGAAGTTATATCTTATGATAGAAAACTACTCCTCATATACTCCTGTTCTATCCTGCCCCTTTCATCTTTCTTCTGTTAGTCACATCTCCTCCCACTTCATACATTACTTTATTACACAGTAAATAGGAAATGACTCTAAAGACAGAAAACACATCTTTCCTGTTAGAAAGTCCCTGATACACCATGGAATATTAGGTCTAAGAAAGAAAGGTCTGGTCAACAGTTATAACTATAAAAGATACAAACTGTGAATGGGTCCAACTTCATCATTAATCATGACCTGCTTTAGATAAAGTAAATTATCTACTTCATCGATCATAAATAGTGTATCTGCACAGTTTCAATAAAAACATGCTACTTTTTCATTACATCTTTTGTTTAAATCTATATTTAACCTGTGGATGTTAAACCTTTGGGCAGCAGTAGCTCAGTCTGTGGGGTCTTATCTTGGGAACCGGAGGGTGGTTCCGGTTCACGTCCAGCACGGACCAGTCATTAGGAGTGCAGACTGGTAGCTGGAGAGGTGCCAGTTCACCTCCTGGTCACTGCTGAAGGTTCACCTGAGCAAAGCCTGAACCCCTAACTGCTCAGGGAGCCTGACTGCGTGGCAGCTCCCTCCTCTGACATCCCTCCATATGTTGGTGCTGTTTGTACATGTATGTGTATTTTGGACCTGTGTGTGCCCCTGTTGATGTGTTTACAACAACCTATGAAAATCATTAACATATTATCACCTTTAAGTTGATATGATGAACTTGTTAGCAGTTTCTTATTTCTTATTTCTTATAGCAGTCACAGAGCAACGTGGTCATTCATCTGTCCAGTTTTCTCTCTGTTAGCTCTGTTTTTGGTCTCCACCATGTCCTAATGGAAATATTTAACTCTTTAACTGATAAATGCTTGACTTTGTTCACCAGTTAGTCTCTAATTGTGTCTGTCTGCTGTTTGCTGCTCAGCAGATAGAGTACAGAGGCCTTTTAGAGCTTTTTCACTAAACAAAACAATGTTCTGAAACTCACTCTACAGCTCTGTAAAGCCGAGGGCAGCTGCAGATTCAGCTGATAATTCTCGAAGAATTAAGCAGTTTTTAAGTGTCAGATGGTGTTCAGCATGTTAATGGCCCGAGATACAGCTCTTTTTAAACCAGACTACAGAGGGTGTCTATGCATTCACATCTCTCGCTTTTTGCCCCCATCTATCTCTGGCTATGAGATATTCTCACCCTTAACCAGAAGAGCTATTTAAAACCAACAGGCTGTAAACCACAGCACCATTTAAGTCTCCACTCATAGCACAAAACCACACAAAACTACTGCTCATGGGGTGATGGAATTATATAATCATATTCATAAACATGTTGTCATGTATAATCAGCTTAGACTGTTACAGTATTTCAAAGAAATCTGCAGAATTTTACAGCTCTCAGTTTCCTATTGATTTAGTGGTCTTCTGGCTCTTTGTTTATTGCAGTAGTGTAATGTGCCACTGTTAGATTTGTAGTAATTACAGTAACTGACCTGCTGAAATCAGCATTACTGCTATTCACATAATTAAACTGAACTGAATGAACACGTGTAAGTATCTGCCTTACCTTGGTTTGTTAAGTTTTTTGTTGGCAGAAAGTTAGTATAACCACCTGATACAAGATAAACCTGGCTCCATATTTGCCAGACTGTAACAGGAAGGCAAGGCCAATCAAACATAAGCAATCAAACATTCCTTTGTAACAGGCACGCCGTATTTCTGCTGTTTACCTCCCAATCGATGCAACCAAAGACAACACTACTTATGCTGTGATAATTTTCCAGACCTGTAAGATCTTTTGTCAGATACTGCGATTGTTTGAACTCATGGACTGCACATGGAATAAAACTGGA